ATGGATGGATGGATGGATGGATGGATGGATGGATGGATGGATGGATGGATGGATGGATGGATGGATAGATAGATGGATAGATGGATGGATGGATGGATGAATGGATGGATGGATAGATAGTTAGATGGGTCGATGGATGGAAAGGTGAATCTCCGGTGATATCTCCGATATGCTGCCCAATTAACAGTTGTGTTACTAGTTAGACTTACTACTAAATAATTACAGTCATACAACTAAGAGTAATATTGGGCATGGTATAACGTCACTTACCGGTAACATCACAACTGGGACAATTTACGGAACGATCAACTGCTTGCATACATGCACGGCTACTGGAACAAGACTGAAGTCGGCAACACCGCTTGTCTCTAATGCAGCACGCATGCATGTAGAAGGCGTGATGGTTGCTACGCGTGTGTTTTCCTACGCTACAGAGAAACACGAATCGACAATTTATTCAACAAACTTTGATTACCCTTGTAATTTGTGAAGCTTTTTAAAGTTTGTGTGTGTGCGCGCGTGTGTGCATGTGTGCGAGTCTGTATATTGAGCGCAAGTAATAACTGACGTGCTGCACACAAGGCAATGCCAACAATGGTGAGCGTCAGCATTCGTAATTATGTGCACATATTATTAATACTTTCATTTACATTCACAGAACTAAATGACTGGCAATTTTGTTGCACGTAGGCTAGCCATTTGAATCCAGCCACCTGAATAAGAGGGTTTCGCATTTTGCAATCGAAAAATTACTGCCTTCATGGCTCTTGGATGTGAATTTTTCCAAGGGGAAAATATGAACACACGTGATATTTCTATCGCTATACGTATAAACACGGGAATCTCCAGCACACGGTTAATAATTACAACATAGCGCTTCAGGATGTATTCAGGACAAGCTATGAAAGACATTCTATATCTAATTACGCTAACACGGTGTAGAACAATTTAAAGCTACGAAACGCGGCACCTTTACTTCGGGCATAATTTCACGTTTCACCTCCATCGTGTATACTTTGCTCAGGCCTATGTTGAACCGCTTTGTTACCCTTTGCCGGGAAAGTCAGTAAAATGTTTAGAAACCTTTAGTAAGTCAATGTTTAATCTGTATCCTTATTCCGCCATCTTTAGAAACAACTTACAATGTCTTCACAAAGCGCCAGAAAGTCCCGGACTGTCCCCCTAGCTGCACCACGAAAGTGATTGCGATAAAATTAATTTTAACCACTTGGATTCTTATGTATAGAGTATCGATTCTCCGTAATCTCTATATTAACCGTGGTGAGCTTTCTGGTGTAAGCGAGTCTTAGACCATGTCTAATTTGATCACTTCCAATCACACCAAATCAGACATTCCGTCACTTATATCGCAATAATATATTCTAGATAAATTGTATATCTTACATAGCAACACAGACCTTACAGCATTACTGAAAATGTTGTCTGAAAAATCGACACACGCACTCACGCACCAATTATGCCCTGGTTTTCGGTGCACCAAACATTGTACAATAAAATATATGATTAAAACATTAATAATAGATTCACCTATTAAAGGTCGCAAATTATTAAATCATTGATTTCGTAGTATGCCTTCGCTACGACGGTGAATTCATCTTTTTTCGAACGCTCCCATCCGCACACCCACCCCAAACACACACTGCCTTAATGGTATATGCAGCGGGGACCTTACATGCGAGGTCTGCGTAATATTTCTGAAGTGAGGTCTACTGATGAAATCTTT